ATCAACTTTTGATGTAGCACATTTCTTAGCGTAAGGACATAGGTAAGTTGTTGGTTATTCAGGTTTGTTCATCTTCTAGGAAGTGTTTTAATCATTTTTCACAATAGAATACATGGGGGAAAGTATTTGATGAGATCTCAAGTACTTTGTTTTTAATTGTTTGATTTTTGACATTTCATAAGAAACATAAATCAGAGAAATAATGTTGGAGAGAGGTGTTTACTCAGTTACATCTCATCGCCACCATCATCCTTGGCAGTATTTCAGAAAGGATTTCTGAGGTATTCTTTGAAAAACAGCCTGATTATGATCCCATGGAAACCACTGACAAAATACCAACTGCAACTGAAATCCATCCATTTCAGAATTTAAGTAATGACATGCTGATTTGGAGAAAGCAAATAGAAGTAAAACCAAGAAGAAAAGATTTTTATGCCCTCATTTTGTCTAGCTAACTCAGTGAGAAAAAAAATAATTTTTTCATGCATTTGTGTCAGGGAAAAAAAAAAGCATTAAGTGAACAGCTTCCTTCAAGTTACATCCTTCATTTTCATGCTCTCCTTAAACTGGGATGGACAAAAAGTAGCTCTTGAGCCTTCTAAGTAGGTCAGTTACAGTTCTCATGCCCGGACCATGTTCCCCACTGTGGAAAGCAGAATACCACTGAAGCTTGCATACATGCACTCTCTCTAGGTTGTGTGGAGTCTTCTTTCTTTCCTCCTTGAAATCAGATCCATTTTGCAATGGGGCAGGAGGACACAGGGAAGCACTTAACCATCTTTTGCTTTTGAATTGCTCCCAAGCATTTCTTCTTCCCTCAGTTCTTCAGGTTATGTTAAATGTATCTTCAAATTCCCAACCAAATGAAGGTTTTGCTATATAGTCATACAGTATGAGAGAGTGATGGCTTGTGTGTTAAACTGCCCCCAGACCTGTGTAGTTGGTGTATATATTAAAGCTGCTTTCTGGCAGGCCTACGAATCTGGAATTATTTTCTGCAGTGATGTTATTTCACAAGGAATATGAAGAGAACCCTCCCAACAAGTCCTGAGCACCTCACAGCCTCTTTGTCAGTATATGTGAATTAAAACATGCCAGATGTCACCCTTTCAGGGTCTGTGCTCTGGCCATTAGCGGTTCCATTTAAAATAGCTTTCTCTTTAAGGCTAAGCACAATCATTACAGGGTTTTTTATAGGACAAATATAAAAATATAATTTGACCATTAAATTCTTCACTTTTTTATGCACAAATTTACATGCACAAACTGGAAGAGATGTGGGGCTTGCACTCATCACTTTATAGACAGTACTAACTTCATCTAAGGGGGTGCCTAAACACTTCGGTCAAAACACAGTAGAGTTTGACTGATCCTTTTCCTCCCCATTCATTGACAAATCACAGTTGTTGAAACAACTTCCAAACCCTCACAAAATCAGCAAGTTATAATATTTTCTTGCATTTTCTAGGATTTCTGCATGAAATGGTAAATATGAGCGTTAACTCTTTTCTTGTCATTTAACTGGGTCCATTTTCACACAACCAAGCATTCTTATTATTTGAAGGTCAGATTTAAATGGAAAAGGCAAAAGTATATCAGAAAGACTGCACTAAGAGTCTCCTTCTGAACCATTACACCTTCAAAATATGTAATGTTCACAGTCTTCTCCATACAAAGTCTTCTTGGACACTTCTTTTCATGTGGCTGATGAGAAGAAGCCACTACACTGGGCCCTGTGACTGTGAACCCATTATACAACTTCAACAGTCAAACATACACTTGAGATAAAAAGAAATGAGCTCCTAAACGTAAATAGAAAATATGTGAATCATTTCACCTATCTTTTAATTAGGCACTTATAAATTAGCTGTCTGTTGTAAGGTGTGTTACCATCAGGCTACCCAAACATCAGCCCTTTCCTAGTATAGCACTTACAGTTATATGGGATAGTTGCAGATTGTTAATTGCTAGTGGTTTTTCTTACTGTTATTATTATTACTATTATTATTATTATTTAAGGAACAGGCAGTATGTCCCATTGCAATTTTGCATGCATGCCTGGGAAAAAAAGTAGATGACATAAATCGCATGCATAATCTCAGGAGACAATCATTTTAAATCTTAATTGGCTGCCTTTTAAATATCATTTAAGGTCTCGTTTTGCCTGCCTCTCTCTCTCTAGTTAAGAAGGTGTTGTGTCAAAGTCTATTACCTTGCTGGACGTCTCGCCTCTAAGTTTTTTTTAAAAAAAATAGAACCATCAGCAGAGGTTTGAGAGGTCGATAAAGCTTTTAGATTTGGAGATGTTTTCAGGGAGCCCATTTCCTGCGGCTAAGAGTTGTTAATGGAGCTTAAGGAATTATCTTATGACTCGGGCTGGGAGAGCCGTATATTTCTTCGCTCCTGTTCCCTTGTCGAGGCTGAATATGCTCCTGTCAAACTCGCTTAATGAAAAGTAACGCGTCGCTGATTACAGTTTTATTTGGGCTCTATGTAAAAAGCACTGTTAATTTAGCATCCCCTCCTTTGTGTGTTTGAATTTGCCATGGCTGAATGATTTAGAGTCTCTCAGTTTCAAGCCGTTTCTCTATGATTTCCACCTCCCCCCCCCTCTTTCTTTCTCAGTCAGCCTTTATATTTCTGCTTTGCACAGCCATAGGAGCTGCCCGGCTTTCCCTTTCAGCCCCGTAGCCTCCTCTAAAGCAGCTGAACCTGATCTTTGACTTGTGCTATTGACTCAAATGGCAAAATTAATTTCTCACACTTTTGTTCACACTTAAAAAAAAAAAAAGAAAAGCAACCTTTTTGAAAAGCCACTGCATCTGACAGCTGATCCAAAGATAAGGTTCGTGTACCAAAGCAAGAACCATTTTTCCTTCCCCCTGATGAGCACGGTCCCACCCCAGGAGCTGAGATGCGTTGCCGCGGGCACGTACCCGCCGCCGACCCGGTGCTGCGCGGCCGCGGCCTCGGCCGCAGCCCGGGGGCAATCGATCTGTTTCGGTGGTACAACGGGCATCGACTTGCTCAAACTTGCTTTATAACGGCGGTGACGGGGAAATGAAAGGGTAAACGTTTAACCCGCTGTCCCTTTGGCTGCTGGTATTTCAGCGTGGCTGTGTTTTGCCCTCAGTGTTACCACCTTCATTTAATCCCCAGGGAGAGGGGCGGGGGCTGCCTCCCAAATGACGAGCTGACCACATCGCGTCGCAATGACGGGTTGTGACGGCGGGGGGGACGCGGCGCTCCGCCAGCACGGGACACGTCTAAGGCCCTCGCACACTCACACACACTCGGCTGTTGCAAGGGGGGCAGCGAGGACGAAGCCTCTCCCACCCCCATAGCCTCTATCGCATGGAAGCCGAAGCCCAGCCAGAGGGAGATCTGATGTCCCCGCCGGGCACTTGCACACGCAGAGAGGCTTGCACACGCAAATCTCCCAGCCTTAAAACCACCATCGCAGAAGGCGGTGGGATTTTTCCCCCGATCCCTCCTGCCTCCGCCAATGAGGGCAGGCTGAACACTCGCCTTTCCTCCCTTCCCTCTTCCTCTCCTCCTTCATCCCCACCTCCTCAGTTTGGCTGAGAAAATAATTTGCTTTGTCTAAAGGGTTTCAGAGACGAAGCTCGCCGGCCGCCCCGGCTGCATTAAAATTCCTGCCGGCCCAGCCTTTAGCTGAGATCGCAGCTCCCCGGAGACTCCACTTTCGCTATTACTGTCAAGTACCCTTGACTCTTTATTTTTGCCCTTTTATCTATTACAACTAATTCGAGTTCTTTTGCCCTTTTCAGTTTAAGACATGGGCTTTCTGTAAAGCCTCCCCCTGCCACCGAGCTGTCCGGGTGCAGAGCCTTTAGAAATTGAGGGGTTTACTGTCAAAATGAAAATTTCACTTCAAATTATCTCGGCTGATGCACGTTTTCCAGGCCGGGGGCTCTTGTCTGAGCCTTTTGACAGCCAGATCAGCAGAGGGGTTCAGTGATCTCGATAATATCATCCAAGAGAGCGAAAGTCAATACAATGACAGGGAATATGACTGGATACAATCCAATTACTGCTGCTCCCAGAGAGGGGAAGGGCTTGATCTGATCTCCACACCCGGATTCCCTTATTCAGTCCTTGCGCTAACAGGTCTCACTCCAAACTTTGTGACCTGGAGTGGGCTATATTTTGGCTGGGTGCTGTCTCGGTTACGTTTATTTTTGCATATATATATACCGCATTGTATTCTTATTTATTTATTTCGGGGGGGGGGGGGGGGGGGGACGACGGGAGCCACAGGAGCGGGTTTGGCGAGGAGGCTTGGGGTTAAGAAAGTCTCTTCTGCTTGCCCAGTGTCAGCTCGGTCACTGGGGCTCTTTCTGTTATCCCCCGTGGCGCCGGGCGCAGCAGCTCTGTGGGGGTTAGAGCGGCCTAGTTAAGGCGGGGTCTGCTAGTGCCTCGCAGTTTGTTTTCCAGCAGTTCTCCCCCTTTCCCGATCCAAGGATCAGCAAAGTTTGTTCCTGTTTCTGGGGAAAGAAGGGATGTAATTTATACGCCCGGTATCTGTGTGGTGGATGGGCTGCGAATGCTCCTGAATCACACGTCGAGAGCGCTATCCCCCGCCCCCCTCGTTGTTGGCTGCACTCTATTTAATGTCAAAACGGTAAAGCATCTGTCCTGAAGTGCTGAAATATTCATGGCGGATCAGCGACTCCCCATACGGGCGGAGGAGCCGGGAAGCTAAAACGGTTCTTTAAAAGAGCAAATTTTCCATGTGAAGCAATTGCTCCCCCCGCCTTTCCCTCTCACCCCACCGGCCCGGGTGGCTGCCGGGGCTCAGCACTCCGCGGTAAAGCGCGGAGAATCCAAGCATGCCTCCCGCGGATCCTTGCTACAACGACAGTGCAACGCTGTAGCACTCTCCCTGCAGCCTGTTGACAGTCCTTGGAATTACCGGGCCCGGCTCCGAAGTGGAATTTTGATCCCTAAAAGATGTTTTGTTGCCCAATGCAAAACGCCACCACTTGTGTTACCTCTGAAACAGACAATTTATTGGAGTGAACATACCTTTTAACATATTTTTTTTCTTTTCTCAAGATAAATTTGTGCAGCAGGTGTAAACTTAGTAGAAGTGCTGTTTGTGAATTATATGCTAACAAGGAAATCAGGAGGAAAAACTCTCAGAAAGTCTTTATAACTAATGTTGGCATGCCTTAAATTAAATCTGAATTAAAATTTCCCGTTTGTAAACTTTCGGATGTAAACTTTTAAAAGTAGGTCTACGCTATAGCACGTGCTTTTTGGACATGGAATTAAATTACTTTCACGACATTGATCCCTTAAAGTCGCAGCCAGGAGAAATTCTTCAGAACAGCAATGACCAAAGTCTGTCCGTTGAACTGAGCAAACTGAACTTTAAATCCTCGGTTAAAAAAAAAAAATAAAGAAGAAAACAAGTTTTATATTTAAATTTAAACTCTTGCAAGTCTCATTTCAGTGTAGCTGACTCTTCAAGCGCTCCAAAGTCCTCCAGCCCTCGGCGGGCTTGTTAGGAACAAAACATTTTGCTTCCTGATTTGGGAAAGGCCAGAAACTCTTTGTTTGAGTCATGGTGGGCCAGGTTTGAGAGCTGTCCCTTGAGCACATTGGCGCCGTTCCCCACCGCGCGTCCCAAGGCGCCTGTTTCCAGGATGGCTCCTTTGGTGGTGGCCCAGGATACTGTCGTGCTGCTCAGGGCTTGGTTCAAAGTACTGTGCCTGAACAGAGGGTCGTGAAACACCCCGTCCACCCAGTTCCTGAGGTTGGTGACCGGCGAATCCTGGTGCCTGTCAATGACACTGACCGGGGCGGAGACGGCGGCGGCGGTGCCCGAGCCCCCGGGCCGCTTCAGCATGCAGGAGGGGTACTCGGCCTGGTTGAGGGAGGTGGCGGTGTGCGCCAGGGACCAAATCCTGGGCTTCGCCTCCAGCAGCTGCTGCCCCTGCTGGAAGCACATTTTGGACTCGCAGCCGCGCTGCCTAGCTCCGAGTGGGTCGGGGCCGCACTCTTCCGCCGCCGGCTTCAGGCAGCTCCGCGCCCGCCCCGCTGCCGCCTCTTCTTCCTCCTCTTCCTCCCCGGCGGCGGCCGGCGGCTGCGGCATCTTGGCTGGGGGCTCCGCGGCCCGCGGCGGGTGGCTGCCGCCAGGGAGCGGGTGCGGGAGCGGAAAGGGCCGCCTCAGCTCGCACTCAGAGCTCTCCGACTCGGCGGCGTCCAGGTCCTCCAGGTCGCTGAGCTCCAGCTCCTTCTCCTCCTTGCCCGTGGGCTCTGCGGGGTGGGGGCAGGGGAAGGGACAGCAAAAACAAGACACACGGTCACTGCCGGCGCCGCGCTGCCCGCGGCCGCCCCCAGCAGCGGGGCCAGGCCCGCCCCGGGGGCGAGCGGGCGGCCGAGGCCTTAAGTGCCTGGTTTGGGCAGGATACCCTCGGCTTTCCCGCTCTTCATCGCCTCTTCCTGAGAGCCCTCTTCCTCCTCCTCCTCCTCTTCCTCGTAGGGCCGCTTCTCGTCGGAACACTTGTTCCGCGGGGGCCAAGTCATCTTGTTCTCTTTCTTGAGCCGCCGGCGGGCATTGGCGAACCAGGTGGAGACCTGGGTGAGGGTCATCTTCGTGATGATGGCCAGCATGATCTTCTCCCCCTTGGTGGGGTAGGGGTTCTTGCGGTGCTCCTGCAGCCAGGCCTTCAGCGTGCTGGTTGTCTCCCGGGTGGCGTTCTTCCGCCGCGTCCCGCCGTCCATCGTGCCGTACCTGCAGACACAAGGGGCAAACCCGCAGCATGACACGAAGCCCTCACCCCCCACTTTCCCTCTGGCCATGTCTGATGCAGGGTCCCAGGGCCCCGGCACTGTCTGCTTGCCTAGGGAATTCCCTGAGGTGGATGGACCAGAAAGGGGGGAAATTGGCGAGAGCAGCTCAGCTTTAAGAGGGCAACTTGCCTCGAGAACTCAGGCCGAGGAAGGGCTCAGCTAACAGCAGCACAGGGCCATGCAAATCCCCACTGTGCCATGGCGGTGGTGGTGGTGGCAGGAGGTGGTAAAGCACCTTGCCTTTATTGGTGGTGAAGTCAATGACAACGTTTGAGGCAGCAGGGAAATCTTAGCAGCTTACAAACACACAGAAATCCCGCTTTCCTGCGGTTTGATCACTCCTTCCCAAGCGGAATATATCTGGGTGACCCCAGGGTGTAACTGTTAATAGAAATATATTTCCCCCTACTCCTTTTATTGGTAATCTCTCCTACCCTTTTGTTCCTGAAATTGTAGGAACCTAGCGCAGATGACACTGGGCTGTGACTGAATATTTAATGCACATCCTCCAGGAAAGGTCATCGGCACCCAATGGGCCTCCGAGCCTCGAACGGTGTGTACGTGGGTTTGTGCTGGTTCAAAACTAACACACGCACCGGGGATGCCCAGGCGCCTAAGCCTGCCTCCGCGCAGGGAAAAGATAATTACCAAGTCCACTGCCGTGGAGAGGGACCGGTGATCCCGCGCCTGCGTCCCTGCGGGAAAGGGGCTCTTCGGAGGCGGCACGCAGGGGCGGGGGGGGGATGCCGGGCTGCGGGAAGGGAGGTCCGCGGCGGGGCGGGCGGGGACGGGGAGTGGGCAGGAGGATGGGCTGCTTACCTGTCGTACTGGTACTGGCTGAGGGTGTGATCGTAGGGGTAGTAGGCAGCCGCCGGGGTGATGCCCGCATGCGCAGACCCGCTCCCGTCCTTCGTCTCCAAACTGTTCTGTAAGAGACACCGCGCCGCCGCCCTCAGCCCCCGCCGCGGTGACCGACCGGCCCCCCCGCCCGGAGTCACTGGGAGGATATAGGGAAAAGGGGGGAGTGGGGGAAGGATCTTTCCGAAGGCCCTCTGGCCGCGGCGAGCAGCGAGATCAATAGATTAACTCGCGCTGCTAAGGTGCTAGGAAAAGAAAAGGGGGGAAACCCCCTAAGGCTGGCCGGGATGAGTGCATCATTTTTTGACTATCCGGGGTCTGAGACCACCCCCACCCCCCAAACTACCCTCCCGGGCCGTCCCTCCGCACTCGGCCGCCACCGCCAGGGTCAGGCACGACTTTTAATTGCGATATCGTGAGATCCGCGCAGGGCTTGAATAATTAATGACCGCGGGGTTGGCAGCGCCGGTCGGCGGGAGCGGGATGTTGCGGGGAAGGGGGAGGAAGAGGAGGAGGAGAAGAAGCGCCTGGGGCTGCCCCCACCACGGAAGGGTAGCGGCCACCGCTCCCGGGGAAGCGGGGATGCGCGATGAGGACTGTCTGTCGGCGGTGCCGCAGGGGCGACTTACCAAGGAGTAGAAGGCGGGAGCCTCGGTGCCGTAGGTCACGTAGTTTCCATATCCCTGGGGCCCGGCGTAGGGGCCGCCGTAGACCCCCAAGGCGGCGGCGGAGCTGAGTTCGTGCCGGGCGGTGGCGAGCAGGCGGCTCTCGTAAACCGGACAGTACACCGGCGCCTGGGCGGGCGCCGCCGCCCCGCTTTCGGCCAGCGTCCGGCCGCTGGACTCGCAGCACGTCGTCAAGGAGTTGGTGCTCATCAGGAACTGGAGGGAAAGAGAGCGGCGCTGGGCGCGGGCGGGGAGTTGGGGAAGGGGACGACGACAGGGGACGACTGCCCAAAATAACCGAGTTCGGGTTTATATTTGTTATTTCTTATCAGGTCTCGCCTTTGGGGTGTCACCCCCCCTGCCTCCCCCCCCCCCTTCCGCGTTTTACTTCCATCAGCATAAACTGGAGGTTGCAGAGATGCAAGTATTTTACCAGTCTACCCCAACAACAACCACCACCACCCTCCCCATGGCTCTGGGCGTTTAATCCTCTGTACCACGTCGCTCCAGCCCTTTGCATTGAAAAAACACCTAACTTTTTTGGTGCGCTCTCTCAAGGCTGGGTTTACACCATTTTTTTTTCCCCTTGCAGCACGCTTCCCATCTGCGTTTTTTAACCTTTCCCCACCCCCCAAATAACTCATGCATATTTATTTTGACTGCGAGTTTGTAGCAGCCACGCACGCATCTGTTATTAACCTGCTGGTTTAGAATATTCCATTATGCTCCCACGGTCCGGACCTCAGCACTTCAGTGTTTAATTGGTAAACTGTGTATTTAATCGGGAAAGAGAAAAACAGCGCTGGGGTCCAGGGGGAGGGGGATATCTGTAGCTTCTCTGCTCACTATTCGCACCTTTATAACCTTTCCCCCTTTTCATTATCACCCCTTAAAACCCGAAATCACGCGTGTTCCTTCCCGGCGAGGGTACCGCTCCCGCAACCCTGGGGAGGACCGCTGCGCCCTAAGCCCCGGCGGAAGTCATCAGCAAGGGCTGAGATTTAATCAGTTCCCGCTGTCAGACAAAACATTCTTACCTGGGGTGCAGAGGAGTAAGGATAGCCAAACTGAGGATATGACATGGTACAGAGGCTCCCGGTTATCTAGAAACAAGGCGAGACGTCTGATCTGCACGCTATTGCAGCCTGGCTCTGCTCTGTTGTACCAATTGATTGGTAACCACAGGTCCCTAGATGCTTATAGGACGAAGCAGAAAACCACATTTAATTTATTTACATGAAATGTTAAAATTTCTTTCCCTTTCCTTTTTTTTTTTTAACAGAAGGGGGAAAACTAACAATAAAAAAGATGCACAGTGATTTTAGTACCTTTCCCTCTACACCTACGAAACAAAAATTGTTGTTACTCGTGGGCTCCGTCAAACATGACGGCAGAAATACTTAGTTTGCACTCACGGAAAAATAAAAGGGGGGGGGGGGGGGGGAGACAAAAGCGATGAAAATACATCAGTTCAGAAGCACGTTGTTTTAAAAGAGCCGAGCCTCTGACGTCACGCAAAACCTATTCAGATTAACCTGCCTGGAAGTTTAACATTCATTTTCGGGACCCTTTCCCCTGGCTTAGAAAAGAGTCTCGGCATCCCTCTTAACAGGAGAGAAACCTTTCCTAACAGGAGCGAAAGTTTGGAAAGCTCTCTGTCACAGGCTGCCTTCAGCATCTCCATGGATTTCTGCGGGGAAGGGAAGGACTGGGTTTAATCTGAAGGATCAATGTTGTATTAGCTAAGATTTCCCCCACCCTCCTTAGTCACTGAAGGGCTGGTAAGCACTTTTAATTAGAAATTAATTAATGAGCAGCTGCTTCTTCCCACCCCACAGTAATAATTAGTCTCAATTATAAACAAGACATATGAAGGGACACACGACTGAGTCTTCATTTAAGATTTAATCAACAGTTAAAATTAGCGCTACCGCTGACAATAAAGCACATGACATGGCAATCCTTGCTTTGCTTTTAGGCTTTTATTCCCGACGTGTGATTACAGGTAGGAAACCCTACAAGCGTATTCCGGGGAATGATTGAAAGGACGTGACTTTTCACGTTAGAACTGCTTTGATCCCATCGCAAAGCCCTGCTGGAAAAGCCAACCTTTGGCTGGGCGAGGGCCCTAGCCAGCCTGCCTAGCCTCAGAGGTGCACACAGCTGGACTGAGGAGAGGGAGAGTGGAGGGAGAAGGGAGTACACCTCAAAGGTGTCAACTGTTGTCTCTCACCCAAGAGCATCCACCTCTTCCTTGGTGGTTCGGTACTTCCCCGGGATTCCCTGAGAGAAAGAAGGGCTGAAAAAGGGTCTCACCTCCATCACCCCCTTCTCCTTCCCAACACACACCGCCGCTGCCAGCAGCCTTCCTATATTTTGGGTGTTGAGGAAGCCCCTGCCCCAGGCAGACAGTATCCCACCAGGAGCGGGGCAGGCTCCGTGTAGCGGCCGTCGGAGGAAGACGCTGGGGCCCTTCGGCCACCTCCGCCGTCCGGCGGCCCCAGAATCTCCCCCCAACGGCCAGCTACCTCCGGGCCAGGGCGAGTAGTCAGCAGTCGGGCGGGTGGAGGAAGCTCCGGAGTCAGCTCCGAGGCTGAAGCCGGGCTGCTGGTGCAGTTGAATGCTGCTCCGTGGTGTGCAGACTTGCTCAGAGAGATTCCTGGGTTCAGACATGTGAATAGCCCCAGGGTCACACTCTAATTAATGATGATGTTCTCTTCTTCTCCCCAGCTGGAAGACTGCCTCCCAGAAACGAATCTGCCCACACTGACAGCTCGATTGAGGGTGATTGATGACTATCTGGAGACCACAGTACACATAATATAATATCTGCTGCGTAATTGCTTTAATTTACAGATGAAAATACTAGTTCTCGGATTGAGTTAGACTACAACGAGCAGCGTTTTATGGCGCTTTGGAGTGTTTGCAAATAAAAGATATCAGATACACTACATGCAAATTATCCTGACAGCTCACTATCTGTAGCCGGGAGAAACGTATAGAAAAAGGGAATCAAGTGACATAAATAATCGGTTTGGAATTCTCCATTGATTTTTTTTTTGCAGGGGAAGAAAGTGCTTTTTCTTTCCTCACCTGAAATGCTAGTATTTTTTTTTTTTTCAGGGAATATTACTAACTTAGCCACTGGGTTTCTTTGACAGAAACGCTCTTTTATTCCTCGTGCTTCCCCGATGCTGCCAGGATACAACGATACTTTTAGTTACTCTCTACGACAGGCTTCCTCCTCTGCGAGGTGCTGAGGGGCTGTGGTATTGTTTGGGAAGAAAAGGCACCCAGTGTTTGCACAAAGGTCTGCACGAAGCCTCTGGTGCCGCTTCCTCTGCCTCCCCCACGGAGTGCGCTGACGGGGCGGGGGGGAAGTAAGAGGCAGTGGGGGGATATTTAAGCCCTAGAGTATAACTCACCGGTGCTAGGAGAGAGAACAGTTGCTCTTATCTCAAGAGTAGCTCGGTGTAAAGCACTATAATTAGCTGGGAGTGCTAGAGCAGTGCCTGGAGAAGTCCTCCCAGTTTTCCAGGCTACAGTTTGGAAGATGTCCCGGTGGTGTGGTTTGTTTCCCACCCCCCTCTTCTTTTCCTTCCCTCTTTTGATAATACCGCAGATGTCAACTCCGCAGTGGCCCACAGAACACTCCAGGTTTTGATATTTAGATGAGTCTATTAAACTTTAAAATACAAGGTGAAATTCAATATTTATAGTCCTTGTCTATTTTTATATCCCAGTTGTCTTTCACTGTGCCATGCAAATACTCCGGTGCCCATTTTTGCACTGAACTTTCCTGTATTAATCATGATAATTATTTGTCATTTTTCTTTGCAGACTGCCTGCTCTATTACTTTACCCCCGGTCAGCTCTGTGTCAGTTCCAATCTGTATTCCCTAGAAAGCAGTCATTAAAAAAAGCCCATCAAAACAAAACAACAAGAGGAAAGCTTAATAACCTTAAACACTTCATAACTTTAAACGCTAAAAGCTGACATTACATCTTCCTCCTGCATTTAAGTCCTGTTTCACTTACAATCTACAAATAATGGCCCCTTGTTGATAAGAAATTCCACACAACTGTATTTCATATTGAATTTTTAGTGCCAGTACAAACAAGCAGTAAGCCCCACAATGACTCAAAACAACCCTTGTGGTTCCCACACATAAACAACGTACCACTGTTCAAATCCACGCAAAGACGCTTAATGCTGTGGGCTATATCCTTTAGCATTTGGAAAATGCAAGTCTTTGCTATGCAATAAAAATTGATCCTTGCCAAAGCCCCTCTCCTGTACCAATTTGCTTTCTCCAAAGTTTTAGAGAGGAAACCCACCGCGATCAATAGGGAGAGTTCCCATCCTGCGAGGGCCAGCCTGCACACCCTGGCAAGCAGGTATTTTACAGCTAAAGCCCAACCAAACCTATCGCAGCGTGTTAGGTTTCTCTTCTCCCAGAACATGAAGCCAACGTTCATACAAGTTCTATCACAAAAGCATAGAACGAGGAGAAAACGCTGCGGTGCTGGAGCAGGCCACAGCAGGTAAACCCGAGAGCCTCTTCGGGACTAAGGCTTTGATGGACGTCTTCAGGGACCTGATCTGGAGGAAGTTTATGCAGCTACACTTTTACTATCTGCGTTTTCATCGCCTTCTCTTTTGGAGGAGTTATTGCCACTCCTGGAAACATTTCAGCGACGGAATTTGCTTATGGGCTATACAGACTTTAGCGAGCTCATGCAGTCTGCTTGGCTTTGTTTTCACCTTCCAGATTTAAAGCAACCTTGACACCGCCTGACAAACGCTGTGAAGCTCTACATGTTGCCCATTTGGGATGTGACATGGAACCGAAGGCAGCCTGCAACATTTTCAAGTAGATTAGCTCCCGCAAAGTCGCTATCGACAGTAAATACGACTGTGGGTTTTTTTCTTTTCCTGAGCCCATCTGAGGTGCAATCACATTTCCCGCACTCCGAGTGGAGGGACAGCGAACTCCTGCTGCCGACCCGCGGAGCCCCGCTGTGGCCGACGGAGCTGTGGTGACAAACCGGACAGTTGCATAAGGAGGCGCCGCTAATTAATTAGCCTCGATTACAGCCACTCATAAAAACAGTAGTTCAAAGCTACCCCTTTTAAATGCTCTCATTTTGCAATTCTCCAGTCCCCTTGGCAAACAATCTAGATTAAGGCAGAAAGGCCTCACATACTCATTCTGTTCTTTGTATTTATTAACTTTCGCACTTAAGAACTAGAGCCAACACATGCTCTCCCTCTCTCACACACATGCTCACACACACAAAACTTTTCCCCAATGGAAGCAATCGCCGCGCCCCAGGCAGCTGCCGCACGGATCGGAGGACCCTACAAACGCCTTTACCTGCTCGTTGCAGCGACAGCGCTCTCACTAGCCAAGCAAAGCCCGTCCAGGGCTTCCCGTCCCAGCTGCGGTACCCCAGCGCCGCGGAGCCGCGGGCACTTCAAGCCTTTGGGCACTCTGGCAGCGGACAGCTGGAACACGCTGCCCTGCGGAGATCAAACTTTCTTACTCGCAAGGTCACATTCTGTGCCTTTGAAAGTTTGCCTTAAAATCCAGAAAGTTTGACTCGATGCCTTACCTTAGCGCTCGCTGAACATCATATCCACACCCCTTTCCCAAGATATAACACACATATGGTAAAATACATTGCCCTCTGTCCTAGGTAAAGATTGCACAAAGCCAAGTGATTCATCACAGGTAGTTTCTCTTCCCTCCAGCAGTTCGTTTTCAGCTGCTAAAGCAGGCTCTGAAGAAGGGGGGGGGGGGGCATAAACCCCACCGCTCCCACCCACCCCCCCGCTTCCATAGAGACACACACACGAGCAGCACCACCAAAACAAAAATAAAATGTTTACCTGCGATCACGCCAGGCTCCAGCTAAAGCCTCGTCGCGCTGGCGGTGCCATGGCAGAGCTCCTCTCCTCCCGCCCGCGCCGGCTGCCGTGGCGGGGAATCCGGGGGGCCGCGGTGGGCATGTCCGGGTGCGCGGCACCGGTGCGGAGCGGCGCGGAGCAGCCGGTCCCTCGGCACCGCCGCCTCGCTACCCCCGCGCTGCACCAGAGTGACGTGCGTGCGAGCAGCTCCGCCGGCCGCACGCTGCCCCACCGGTTAACACTTTCCAAGGCGGCCAGGCACTCCGCTTCCAACTTTTCCCGTTTTAAACCAGAAGCAGCCAGCACTCGCTTGCTTCCGCGGGTTATAAACGGCGTCTGGGGCGTGGGGGACACCGTAATTAATAACAGGTTAGTAAAATTAGTGCTGCCACGCCGATAGTTGTCCTTGTTGCCAACAATAATTGCATTGATTCTGGAAGGACACGAATGTCCTCCATTTAACCTAATGATCTGCGGGTTGCACACTCTGTAAGACAGCCGTAGCGTTGATTAACCGCGCGCACCTCTGAACTGCCATTTATCTCTGCGAGTCACGACCGAGAGGAGCTAAACTTGCAGCAACTCTCCCCGCCGCTCCTGCCGCCTTTGTTTCCCTCCCGGGTGAGGAGGCGGGCTGGGACGCCAGCGCCAGCCCTGCGCGCAGGAGATGGGCACCTCACCTGGCCACCCACCGGGTGCAGCTGTACTCGGGGCCCCGAGGCAGCGCGGCAGAGCCGGCAGCTCCGGGGATGCCCCGGGGGCTGCGTGGGCCAGCCCCCCCCCCCCCCCCCCCCCCGGGGGGGGTCAGGGGAAGGCTGTGCGGCAGCACCCGGCACCAGGGACCCGCTCCCTGTAACGCCCCGGGGCCCGGTCCACAGCTCGCCCTGGGCTGTCCAACACCGGGGCTTCCTCCAAGCGGGCAGGTCAGTGCAGGAGCGCTTGCTACCGGTTACCCTCTCCGTCCTCCTGCGCCTCCCGCTCGCCCGCCCGTCCCGTCCGGTGTCAGTCGCAGGCTGCCGTCGCTCTCTGTGGGGAAGCTATTGGAGCCTGAGGCTGGGCTCGCTGGTAGCGAGCTCCCTGTCCCGAACGCCTTTCCCGGTGTGCAGCCCCGCTCTGTCCGCTTTTGCCCCTTCCCTGCCCGCTCTGTCTTCTTACCCCCTAGGCCAGGACCCACTTCAGGCACCCGCGGGGGCCGGGTGTGTGCGAAGTTTTACTGCGCAGCCCGTACTTTTCTTAATTGTTCAGCAGGAAAAGTGGACAAATCGGGATTGACAGAAGGGGGAGGAGGGATCAATATCATTCCTATTTGAAAGCGTAAGCCTCGACAGACATCTCAATAAGGCAGAGGAGAGGAAAAGGGAATATTATATCCTACCGAGTTAAGCGAAGACAAAGAGGTGTTGGGAGAGAGGTTCAAGAGAGGTGGGGTGGCAACGGGAATTTTTAATCCGGTGTCTTCCCACCGTAACCACCAAGGCTGAACAGTAATGTTAATGGGGAACATCTGTACATCGACAGATTTATTCTTGCCAGGGCTCTTTCATGGCCGTGTCATTTGCATGGACCCGTGCTCGTAATGTTCGATACACGCCGCGCCTTGTACTGCAACGACAGGGTAATTGCAGGATGAACCCTGAAACTGGGAAATCCTCTTTCCCCTTTCTTCCTTCTCGGGTTGCCCTTGCAGCTTCCAAGGCGGGGAGACGGCACGGAGAGAGAAAACGTGAGCCTTCTCCCGATCTGCACTTGTAAACAGAAAGCCAATCATGCAGCGAGCCTTTGCACTTTAAAGCCGAATGACAACCCCGCCGCGACGTGGAGTCCGCCGATCCTGGCCTGGCAGGGGGGACCCACGGCCGGGGACGCGGGCACCGCTCAGCTCCCTGATGTCCCGAGGAGCTCCCACCCGGGAACGCTGCCTGCGGCCCTGCCCCTCGGATCTGGGCTTGCCCTTCCTTCCGCCTAGAGGCCAGCCCCGTTGGCGCTGTCCCGTGCTCCGGCCCTGGCGGCCTCCCAGCCCGGCCCGCTGCGGGGCTGCGGACCAGTCCCAGGGGCAGCGCCTGGCCTAAAGGGGGAACTCTCCGCCTCAGCCCAGGACACCGTCCCACTGACCGAACTCCTGTTTTAGAGCATGGGGTGACACCATCCTCCCCTCGGAGGTGACACCTCTCCTCTGGCCCAAATGAACTTCGGGGGTCCGGGACCCCCGCTGAATGCAGCTGCCCCCCCTTGAAATGTGCTACTATGTTCAGGGGCAGCAGGCATCTTTCGAAAATAATTTTTTATATTAATGGCTACCACTACTATCAAAAAAGAATGTGTACCTTTTGAAATATAGCAACCTATAGCCATTATCTAGGTGTTCCTGCTCCGGCAGGCGGATTGGACTAGATGATCTTTTGAGGTCCCTTCCAATCTCTAGCATACTGTGAAACTGTGAAACCTCAGTTCCATGAGATCAACATGTTTTATTACTTCAGCGATGGTGAAAGGAGAAGAGCAGAACCTTGAGGCTGCCTCTTCCCATTTGCTCGTGGCGCCCACCAGCACACCTCAGAAGTTGCTGCCCGGCACCACTTTGATCTGCGTACACCAGAAAACAAAATGGCTTTCCAACAAAGACTGGCCTAGCCAGTCAGGAGGGTGACCAAACTGAGTGGAGTGGGAATCCCAGGAGACATGCAGGCAGGTCAAGCATAGTGGCATGATGGGCACAAGCACAGAGGGAACACTGGTCACTAATACATCTGGGAAAGTGCTTGGAACCAGAGAAGTTTTGGGGAATACTCCCGAAGTTTTACGGGCTATGGCTGGAAGAGCATTTGTAGAGTTTGATGTTTGTGACGTTAAAGATTTTGTTTTTCCCTCTCTTTCTGAAAACGACCATTAATGTTAAGATTTCAACCATTTTTAATATTTAAACTATTACAAGTTGCTCTTTTCACTGTAGAAATGGGATTGGTCCTGTCTGTCCTGGCATTCTTTGGCATTCTTCCCATTTCTGTAGCTAGATCAATGCCATCTCTGCTGTGAAAAGGCCATTATTAAAAGACATCAAGTGGTTAAACCCCTTAATTTTCCATGTCATTAGACAAACAGCACTGGTGATAGCACCACATATTTCCATTCAGAAAGGGAATAGCATTTAATTTCTAGTGTCAATTACTGCAGCATTGTGGCTCTTCTTTGAAGACCTACAGTCTAAGAGATCAGGTAGGAGAAAATGCTAGCTTACTTTTTTGCCTTGATTTTCCTGTAGAGGTTACTAAACCACACCTAGTCAAGTAATAATATACTAATGTTTGTCTCTTAACTCATGCATACTATGGAGGTCATAGAAGAACATTAGCTTAATCATGAAATCTCTGAGATGATTTACATAATTAGAATAATTTCACGGGAAAGCCGACATAATTCAGAACGTAGTAAATACATGAATAGGAACCAGATTTTCACCGAAACTATTTTTGTCCTTACCTGTTTGGGTGCCAAGTTTTATGCTAGCCTTGGAGCAGCGAGGTTTGTCTTAATGTGAAGGGATCCTTACAGGTGCATTTCCTTTCCTTTTCTCAATTCATTATGTGATGTTCAAAAGACTGATACACATTAGAAAACCTTTAGGCATTTCAGCGTAAAAGGAATGGTTTATTAAAAGGATGGGTTATTACTTTGAACAATGACTTCGGTGTGCACATTTAAATGTGAAATGTTTATCTGGTACTGACCTGCACCAATCAGAATCTGTACAACTGTACTTTTTTCCATAGATGCACGCTTAACCTAGTAAAACGCATTTATTTGCAGATTCTCTTGTGGCCGTCTGTGACTCTTGTAGTTCACAAAGATACAGGCTCATAATTATGTTTTCATTAATTTTCTAAGAAGTGTTACCATAATTCCATTTGTGAGCTAATGATTTGGAGAAGATACTTATTTTGTGGTAGAGAAAAAAAGTTGATGTGGTTAGAGAAATAGTTAGGGCGGTCTTAACGTACTCAATATGCGGACAGGTGGAGAGAATTGTTTTTTAGTAGGAAAAGGGGATCATTTAAAATGCTTAAAAGCTTAGCCATTTCAACCTGCCTTGAAGACCCTGAAAAAGCAGAAGACACCGAGAGAGTCGGTAGCACCAGGTTCTCCTTCTGGCAGCACAGCTATGCCTGGATGGGGAGGGCAGCCTGAGCCTGCAGACCTTGCCCAGTAAGCAAAGCTGCTGAGGTAGAGCTTCTTGGTCCAAGGAAGCAAGGCAGGAACATGCTCCTTCCTCCATATTATATGACTAAAGAGAAGTGGACTGTGGGTTTGACCCCACCAATCCGCTGTGAGTGAATGGTTCCGTCAAATGCTACTCCACCACTTCTTGCATAAAAGGGATTATAGAAGTGAATGGCATGTGCCTCAGAAAAACAAAGGCGCAATTAAAGCAGCATTTGTAGTTTTCAGTTAGGGTTATCTTTCAATGCAGGGTGAACTATCATTTTTTTTCCCTGCTAATTATTTTCATTAGCTGTTTTAACTCTTCATGAGAGTTCTTAATAATTGCTTCAGAGCAGAATGTGTAAAGCTGAAAATTATTTATGGCACTGATTAGAACTACAGAATACTAATATGGGTAGTCAGGAATAATTCACCATAGCAGGAAAGGCATTATTTAATTGTTTAATAGAGAAGTTTAATTGTGCTTGCATACAATTATCATGTAAATATCACTGTGATCACTTTAAGAGGTTATTCCTAAGTGTGCCAAAATTCTGAAGCAATCTGAAAAGAATTAATTCTTTTCTTGCCTCCCTTCACAAGTCTCTCAAGTGCACTATATGTTTTAACTTAAACCAAAATATAGCCAAAGGCAGACAGGAGTTCCAACAGTGACCAGTGTAATACTCACTGCTTTTAATTACTGTAACAATAAATCACACAGGAATGTCCTCCAGGAACTAAATGATTTTCTAAAAACATTTGAGAATATTTTTGAAATTCAATTAATTGAAGGCACCAGATAAAAGGTACACATTCTTAATGGCTATAAAATAACCCTAAGGGATGTAACTGAGCTCCAAGCTTAACTTCAAAGTGTGACAGAAATACTTACTGTATTACTTTAAAAGTATTCAGATCAATGAATCAGTTAAAATTACTTATACATTTACCAACCTTTTCATTTTCTTTCTGAATATGATAGAAAAAATTGCTCTCATTTCTCAGGATACAAAAAGCAGTTGAGACCTGTAAAAGAAATTGTAATTAAAGCCAGCCTTCAGTAAAATTGGTATTATGAATTTTTGGTTGACACAAGATGAAGGGGCCAGCAAAACATAAAAGTGGCCTGATAAAACATACATTTAGACATTTTTATACTGAAATTTAACTGGATTGTGGAGATAATTCAGGTCCTGGGATTAAATCTGTCCTTGTTAAAGCCAGTAAACATTTTTCTCTTGAATTCAATAGAACCAGAACATCACCCTGCAATCTGTATTGTGTACAGCTGTATTCCTGACCAGCCATCTGATTATGGGCTAAATCCACCCTCATTTTTTTTCCTTTTTTCTCTCTTTGGACTAACCATGAGGATTTGAACACCCACATTGGTTTTGCAAGGTACTGAACACCTCAAACAGCCACAGCATGCCTTCAGCTTTTGCAGCTAGTAGTCCAAGGTAGTATGACAGCTAGTGCCCAGTAGGACATGACTCTATGAATAAATACCTTGACGTTTGGCCTATAGTTTATGAGCAACGTAACAACGTGA